CCTTCATAAATGTACCAAGCTCAGTCTTGAAGCCAGTTAGGTTTTTTGCCCCTACTGCTCCCTTTCAGAGGCTGTTCTAGAACTTCTCTCCTTTGATGGTTTGAAACCTTTGTCTAATTTCTAGCTTAAACTTGTTGATGGCCAATTTATATCTGTTTGTTCTTGTGTCCACATTGGTGCTTAACTTAAATGATTCCTTGCTCTCCCTGGTATTTATCCCTCAGACACTATTCCAGCTCCCCCAAAAAGTGCAAGAACGATGTCCTGGACCAAACTAAATCTAACTCTGCTGGAATATAAATGGAGTTACATCAAAATAAGACAAGTGTGAGTGAGTGGAGAATCAAGGCCTAGTGATTTACACTGGTGCAGCCACATCAATAGCTAGTGATCAACATCCTCCATGTTGACAAGGCCACAATTCCATGAAAATACAGGACATTTATATATGACACATTCAACAACATAGTCATAAAACCCAGTGAGCTTCAGGGCCCTATTCTCCCATCCACTCTATTATAAAGAGGAAAGAAATGCTCTAAAATTTGAAAAAAGGAAAGGCGCTCTTCTACTCTTCCTGAGAGTATAAAGAAACCTCTTCATGTGGCTACCCTGCAGCTCGTGCCTGGAAGACTGGATGTCTCAGAACTACCTTGTTCTTAGTGTGGGAAAAAATTGCTAATGAGTAGGGGGAACACTTGGAGGTAGTTATATAGAGTCATAAAAATAAAATAATTAATAAGAAGCCAAATCCTAAGGCCTGTATAGGTCCCCTTCACTGCACTAGCTAGACCTACCCACAAATGGTCAGGCCTGTGTTGGAATGGTATGTTCAGCTAAACCATGGTTCTGACCAATGCATGAGCTCCCAGTCCCCTCCACTGCTATGATGTCTCCACCAAACAGGCCCTGCAGAGGGTTGCAGTAGCAGAGGGTCTCTGCTACTGCAACCATGGTTCTGACCAATGCATGAGCTCCCAGTCCCCTCCACTGCTATGATGTCTCCACCAAACAGGCCCTGCAGAGGGTTGCAGTAGCAGAGGGTTTCTGATCCCAGAAAAAGAGACGATATGGGGTGGGACTTCAGCCATATTATACTAATATGAGTCACTATACTAATGCCATGTTTGCTGAGCATGCCCAGCAAACTACCGTGAACTACTAATGAGATGTGAACTACTCCTAGATGTTTCTAGAAGGCTGAGCAGATTCAAACATGAGTGTTCCTGCAGTTAATAAAAAACGCACAGGGTCTTCTCTCATGTCAGCTTCCCTCCTGAGTGTTCACTAAACTTTACAAAGAGACCTGACTACGTTCAAGGCCTCGCCTTGCCATGAGATCACTTCCTGTTCCCTTTCCTCATCAGAATAGTCCCAGTAACATGAACTGGGTTCATGAGCAGTCTTTGGTCCCCAATCCTTATCTAACCCTACCTCCCTAGCAGAGGTTCGAACATGCCTTCACCTGCCAAGTGACTGCGCCTTCATTGTGGGGATCCTGGACACGAGTCTCAACACATCCCTCCTTATCTTTAAACAAGCAGTACGAAAATATCCCCTTTGCAGAGTCCTTAATATAACCATTGTCATGTATTTTATGATGTTTTCATTAAGGCTTTTCATGTATTTATTTTGATTTTCACTGATTTTGCAGCACCCAAAGGGTTTTCTAATGTGGAGGAGTGCTTGCTAAATTAAACTATTATTAATCCTTTTAAGCGAGTCTTTAGTATTCCAAGTTACTTGTTATGGCTGAAAGAGTGGCTCTTCTGTTGGGTGAGCCAGACAAATGGGAGGGCTTTGCCTTGCATCTGTGGGCAGCTGAACTTGTAGCTTCGTAACTTACTGCCTGACCATAAGGTGCCACTTTGCTTTCTCAGCAGATAAATGGATTACTACAATGGACTGCAGCTGCTTTGTAGACATAGTTCAACCTTAACAGTAAAGTGTGCCTTCCCTTATTTGGAATCAGACCCATCCAGGAGGAAAAGTGACTGTTAGCAGGATCTTTGCCTTGGGAATACAAAACTCTTGAACAGTGGACTGCCTGTATACATGCTTTCTTGCTTTGTAAGTATCCTCAAAGGGTTCCATTCAAGGTGTGCGTGGGTGTATTTGATGGCTGCTGGTGGTGTTACATTTATTACATGTGTAATATATGTGAGATATTTACTGTGTTTATATAGCCTGAAAAATACATGTTTTATTGAATTCATCGGAGGTGCCAAACAAGCCAGCCATTTACCTTTAATTCCTGAGTTAGGGTCAGATTGTGTCTGGAAGTGCATGAATGTGCAAGGGAAAGAGAGTGCACAGAGCGGTCTCTCCTCCCCAGCTTCCTCTGCCCTTTACCCAGGGCCCAGCACAATCCCAGTTCTTGTGCTCAGGGAGTGCAGGGACTGCATGAGGCTAGCGTCAACAGTGGAACTAACCTCTCCTGTGTGTGTGGAGGGGAGAGGCAGGTGAGACTTTCTATGTCCCTCTTCCCTCCCCATCCAGTGAAGTTGACCCCACGCTGGAGCAAATGCTTACTGTACCCTGGAAAAGCTGTAGTAGGGGCTGCCTTGGCCCATGCTCTTCACACATTGAATCTGCTTGAGTCACACCACCTCTCAGCGCCTCCACACCCTTCCTATCACATGAGTGTGCCTTAAAAGACTTCAATTTGAAAGAGCCTTACACTTCCAACTAAGGCGGGCCTACCGTGGAACCCTGGATAAGAAACCTCTCTGAATCTGCATCTGAATTTCACAGCTTGGGTCTATTTCTACCATCAAGAAAAAACCAACTAATACTGGAAAAGAAAAAACCAAAAAGATGAAAAAGAAAATGAAAATTGGGTTGGCTATAAAGAATTCCCTTCCTTCCCCCTACATGTGGGTCTTACCTCAACCAATGAATCTAAGCTAAACACTTTGGGGGATCAGAAAAATCCAGATATTTTGGTAATCTTTAATGTTAAGCCCTTTTGTCCTCCAGCATTGTGTCTGGAAGCACGGAAAACAGATCACATACAAGCCTTTTCTCTCATTATTTCTGTCATGAATGCAAGCTGTGGAAATCTCACAGGAAACCCTGTTCTCATGAGATTTCCAGACCAAGAAATGAGGATAGTTTGGATAAGCTTTGGAACCCACAATCCTGAATCCTTATCCAAACCATTCCGCTCAAACTACAGCTCCCAGAACACAGTGTCATTTACACTGTTTGGGTCAGACATCGGCTGGTGTACACTGGCTTGGTACCACTGACTTCAGTGGAACTACACCAGTTTTTACCAGCTGAGAATCTGGCTCTTAGTTTCTAATCACATGCATCTGACTTATTTTAAAAGAGACACTAATGTGCACTAATTTTCTCAGGGAAATTGCACAGTAAATGAATGTCAGGAAATGCATCTTTCTCTGTACATCACACAGCAGCAGGTTGAGAGGTTTCTTTTTTTTTTTTTTTAGCTCTGTCACACAGATCTAAAAATTAATTTGCCTCTTAAAAATGGATGATTGGTGCTGACAAACCCTGTATTTTCCAGAGCAATAAGGCAGTTTTTGATTAGGCTTCACTGAGTCCTAGATTCCATGTTCCAGTAACCACATGCTGTGGAGTGTGGGAGACTCACAGGTGACTGACCCAAGTCTGCAGCAGAAATTCTCACTGAAAGGCTGACAGCTGAACAGAGCTTTGGCCCGGCTGGAACAGAGGGAGGAAGCTGCAAAAGCAGCAGAGGAAATGATGTCTGAATTCTGAGCACCGATGCCTGATTTATAGAATTCAGAACAGGTTGCTTCCAATCAAAATGTTAAGCCACTGGCTTGAAACAGCAAATGAATTAATTGTGCCATTTTCATGACAATCTGCTGTAGCTTAAATGTATTAATAACTGTTCATCCCAGAAACAGTTTTTTCCTCCCACATGAGGGGGGAAAATATCTATCTGAATTTTTTAGATTATGTGACAGGCTTGCAAACTGTTGTTAACTTCATCATTTGGAATACGGATTAGGCTGCAGTACATTAATTTACTGGGAGTGAGAGCTGCCTGTTCATCTCCTTTCTGTTATAACATCTACAGTGAAAGCACACTGGGGGCCAGCCAGCTAGTGAATAATGGCCTAGAATATGAAGTTTGGTGGGTGAGATGGCAAGATTTGTAACTGATATAACTGAATCCATTAAGCAAAAATTAAAAGGTCAGTGGTCCTTCAATAGATATGGCTCTTAATGAAATTACAGATCATGAAACCTGCCAGTTAAAAATGGCATTAACTGAATGTAGTAAAAGGCTGTGCACATATGCCTTTCCAGTCAAACAAAAATAGATACCGAGATTGAACACCCACTGTTCATTTAGCTAGAGTCCATAACACTCAGCATCTGGCAATCGTACCCACTAGAACAGTCCAACCCTTCATCCTGCTTCGACATACTGGGCCTGTAGCTAGGAGGGGCTGAGCACCCTCCGCTCACAGTGGGCCAAATCCTGAGAGGTACTGAGCAAGTGCAACTCCCATTGACCTCACTGGGAGCTGCAGGAGTTTGGCACCATTCAGAATTTTGCCCACTGATTTCAGTACAACTTGGGTATGCTCACCCCCTGGCAGGAGAAGTCCAGCATCTCCCCAGAGTAGGCCCAGAACAAGTAGATTTTTCATCTCTTTAGTGGCTGTTTGTCTCTGTCATTTATCCATTCATGAGGGATCCACTTGTAATACCGTATGGACAAAATGGTGGGGGGAAAGTTTAAGCGCTGCTATTTGTGGGCCAACAGAATTCATGAAATATTAAAGAGATCCTTATCCGTGTCCTGAATTGTTACTACCAAGTCTTCAGCTTTGCAGAGAACATATTTCTGTTGTCATTTTTATTCCTCATAGGCCTGTTCGCCCTATGATTATGTTAATGGCCTTCACCACATGTGAACAATTACTCAGCATAAAAAAAGTGTGATGTTTAGGTACTTAAGTCTGAAATTTTAATGTAATTGCCTATAGAAAAATCTATTTACATCATCTATTCAATATTTAGGGATCAGTGTCCATGAGCTTTTAGGCTGAAATTGCCAAGCCATGACAGTATGGTAACACTACCACCTCACAGCAATTTGTAATCTTAGATTTTATTTTAACATCTAATACTAATAGACAAATCAGCTACAGGGCACGTTGCTTTCTGCCAGTGTAGGTGCCACCACCCAGTCTTATATTCCAGTTCTCCAAGGACCAAACGTATTATCCCAGATCCTGCAGAGAGAGTGAGTGAGTGTTACAGCTGAGCAAGAGCTACCAAAAAGCATTCACAAACAGTTGTCAGATAAAATCCACTAATTCATTTTGAAGGTATTTCCAACCCCTTTTGTTTTATTCATTTTATGCAAACATTCCAGTAAGTCATTTTTTTCCTATGTTCACATAAAGTGAAAGCCCAATAAATACTCACGTGTGTAGATGAGCACAAAGATTTATGCCAGAAATATTTTCACAACCTTCTTGTAATCTCTGAGTTCCCTCATCTCACTTAGAAAACTATCAGTCACCCAATCAGGAAGCAGAAACACCACCATATGGGAACACAGGAACTGCCAGACTGGATCAGACTTGAGGTCCATCTGGTTCTGTAGCCCATCTCTGACAATACCAATACCAACTGCTTCAGTGGAAGGTGCAAGAAATCCCATTAGGGACAATTATGGAATAATCTATTCATAGAGAAGTTTCTTTCTGATTCCCATCAGAGTTTGCTATTGGTTTATGCCAGGAAGCATAAGAGTTTGTATCCCTTATATTTTTTATCTGGGCTAATGCAGTTTTCATTATCCATATAAATACCTAATCCATTTTGAATCCTGTTAAGCTCTTGGACACCATGATATTTTGTGGCAATAAGTCCCCAAATTACATGTTGTGTAAAAAAGCATTTCCTTATATCATTTTAAATGTGTTGCCTTTCCTCATTGGATGGTCTTTGTTCATTAATTATGAGGGAGCAATTTCTCTATTCCATTCGTTATTTTGCATCTCTCTCGTATGTCCCCTTCTTTTATTTATGTCTTCTCTAAAAAAAAAAAAACATTCCCAATTTTTCCAGCCTCTCCTCACCAGGAAATCTCACCGTGCCCCTAATCATTTTGGTGGCTCATCTCTGGTCCTATGCATTACTTCTATGATGCACATGACCAGTTCTCCACCAATAGGGCCTGATCCAAAACCACATGAAGTCAATGGATAGACTCCTGTTGTCTTTGGATCCAGCCCGTCACACAAATAGCTAGAGACATTGACATAGCTGAATAATTCATGAAGCCACAGGTCTAACTATGTCCACAATAAGCAATGCAGCCAACCATTGTGACTAATAAACACATTTGTAAAAATCAGAATCTATTTGTAGAGAACTCACAAACAAAGAAGCCTAAATTTGTCAAATAAATTATAGTGACTAGTTCACCTAGCTTTAGTATGCGCACCCACCCTGCACTATGTGCATACAGCCTTATCAGAGAGATACAAGCCTGCCCATGTAACAGATGCATGTTTTCTGTACTCTGGTTCAGCTGGGAATGCACGCTGTAAAGCAGAAATAAATCACATGGAACTTGCTGTCATTTCTCTACCTTCCTTCAAAAATCTTCTGATACTGCTGCCTGACTGGCTTGAGTTGGCATAGTTTTTAAATGAAATCTGGGAGACTGGCATCAACAGCATTGCCTAATTTTTAGCTAATACCTCTGTGGGTTCTGCGTTCGCATCTGGCCAGTGCCGTCATGCTGAGTATGATTATAATAGGCTGCTGCTCTTTCCCAAGCCGGAAGCTGGGGTACTGCTACTGACAGACTAAACAGAGACTTGTTCCAAACACAACAGCACATCACAGCCAGCGAAGGGTCGGCGGCGCGGGACTTCTCCCAAGGCATAAAAAAAGAGAGAGAGAGAGGAGAGAGAGAGAGAAATGTGTTAACTGTGCTAACAGTGCCAAGTAATATGCTTCGTTAAAAATTTAATCACCTGCAAGTGCAAAACAAGTGCAAAGCAATCATGTTGTAATTAGCACAGCAATTAACACCTCCCTTTTCGATAGCACATGCATCGTAGGAAGTGCATGATTGCAAGTGTTTATGCTGCTGACAGACTAAGTTCCTATAGAGAGGAAAAAATTGCTTAAATAGATTTTTTTCTTGTCTTTTTGGCATTTTGGCTGCTAGGTGCCCATGAAACCCCAGCACCAGCTGCCATATTGGTTTTGTGTGAACACTGTTTCATTGCATAGTGTAACTAACAAATACAACTTCATTTGGGTCCTCTTCAAAAGACAAACATTAACATCTTCTGTAAAATTATAATGTGAATAATGTTTCTGTGACCAAATGTGACACACGTATTATAAATATATGCTTATTGGAAACCACTGCTTACTGTAAACTACATATCAGAACTGCATAGAGATCTGGGTACTCAGGAACCATGCAAAGGGGTTGATATAAAAGCCAGAATAGGAGAGAATCTAGTGAGCTCAGCGTGAGTCTGTGTTTGTACAACACCTAGCACAAAGGGGTCCTAGTGCGTGACTGGAGTGCCTAGGTACTACAGTAATACAAATGATTAATAATAACAATAGCAACATGAGACTGAGTAATGTCAGAGCTCTAATCCTGGGTTTGTCTAGAGTGGTCTAGGGTGAGTCACTTAGGCCCAAATTTTCTAAAATGGTCCCTACTTTTTGGTGCCTCAATTCTTGGGTATCCAACTTTAAACATGTAAAGCCATGTTTTCAGAGGTGCTTTGTATCCATAACTCTGACTGAAGTCAATGGAAGTTTTGAGTGCTCAATACACCAAGGAAAATCAGGCTCTGAAGTTGGGCACCCAAAAACTGAGGCACCAGAAACCAGAGGCCACTTGTGAAAATACAGCCCTTGACCATTCTGGCTTTCCCCACCATACTCTGGAGACAACAACATTTAGCTACCTGCCAGGAGAACTGGCAAGATTAGTTAGTTAACTTTTGCAATGAACTTTGAAAATGGAAAACGCTAAGTGGTGGTGTTATTAGGTCTGAATCAAAATAACCACTGTCTGCCGTGAACCATGACTACTAAAATATTACTCCCCACACACGGGGAACTCTCTAGCTTGCTACTGAACTCCAGAAATTCACTTCTAATATTTGCCACCCAAATAATTATCTGAACTAAGATTGTGATGGCACAAGTATTGTATTATAAGTAGAATTCTACATAATTACCATGGAGGAGGGCTGCAGGGGCCAAGCAAAAGGAACAGAGTAACTATCGATCGCTCGGTCTCTTGGGAAATTTCTTGGGCCTGATCTGCTCTGAGATGGTAAACGTGTTTGAACCGGTGCCTGCTGAATTATATTTTTAATACAGTTTCTCATGTATTTTGGCACCATGCGCCGCATGTGAAACTGTGTTTAAATCCAGTTTAGTAGATGTTGTGTTTGAGCTTGTGTTTTATCATAGTTTTCAAACACAGTTCTAGTCTCAACATCAACATGGCCCAACCACGCTCTCTCTTACCTCACTCTGATTTAAGTGACTGTTCTGTGATGCCTTCTACAGATGGATTGGCAATGACGAGTCCAAAGGCTGCTCAGATCTGGAACACAGATGTTGGATTTTATATTTGCTAGTCCCCAGTATGATCTGGGCTACAGAGAGCTACTGTATGCTCGCACCATAGTTTTGCCTGTGTCTGTATCAGTGATGTGCTGCAGGAGGCTCTCAGGACCTTGTTAAAATTCTGCTGCCACATTTATGGGAGATTTGGGTGATTTCCCTGCTTCTGATGGAACTCATGGCCTCAATGTGTATTGCTAAACCATCCTGCCAGACATGACTTACCCCCGAGGCTCATAAATGTTCTTCAGAAGAGCAATTGTGTTGTACTTGGCACGCACTGGAATAAGATGTGTCAGGATTTTAAAAAGTAATAATAATTTCCAGGGGAGAATACACCTGAAACCCTTGCCCCAGATCTTCATCTCAGCTGACGTCACCTTTGAAATATCACACGGACAACACTGTGCTATACTATAAATACACACAGTATATGTTTCAGGAAGAAAATGTTGTATAGTGCACAGTCAGCACTTAAATAAAACACGTATAGACTCCCCAGTGCTGAGCCCTCCTCTCTGCAATTATCTGCACTTCTTGTACACTAAAGTTTATCACAGGCAAAGGGGAAAATGTTCCATGAGAGTCCCTTGTTAAAGCATTGGCAGCACAGTGCATGAATGAGAGAGAGGCTGAACGTCTCAGTCGCTCCACTCCCAATTCCCTCCAACCCAAGGACTGATAATTGTGCTGTATTAAGGACTAGCAAAACCACACCTGCTGGGATTCTAACCCTGAACAGAAAATTGTGTGTTAGTGGGGGGGGGGGGGGCGGATTCTCTCATGAGTGCATGCAAAGGACGCCATGCAAAGTGCATCACATCATCCCCCTGGAACCGAGTCCAGCGGAGAAATCTAGCAAAGTGCTCTGTGACCATTTGAGGCCACAGATTGGGGCAAAGAGCTGTCACAAAATAAGAGCACCACCAAAAAGAATAACTTGCAGAGTGGGGAGGGAAGGTTAGTGGACCAGGCAGCGGCCACTAGGGAGAAGTTACAAAAACTGCAAGGCAGCCATGACACATACAGCTGCTGATGGGGCCTACAATGGAGCTGCAAGGGGTATAGATTAAGAGCTGTGGTCTGATGCACGGGAAATCAGAAAGTCAAAGATCCAAGCAGGCATCTTGCTGGAGTATAGAATCTAAACTGAAGTGTTGGCTCTCAGGGTACTCGACAGCTAACCATGAATTTAAAAAGCACACAGCAAGGAGAAAAGTGTTTATTAGAAAAAAACATCAGAGCTCACCAGCCAGGACGAATCTCCCAAACTGAATCTGGACAAATGACCAGGAATCTTCAGAGAAAGTAACAGCAGTCAAGCATCGATATCAGAATTTGACTGCTGTTGCCTGTGGTGTCCATTTCCAAGTCACATGCAAGGGAACTGCTGGACTCCTTGAGTATCACCTACTATTCTCAGTGCGGTATTAGAGCAATGATATTGAAGGTTTTTTAAAGGTTCTGAAAGGGCTAATGTGGATGGTATAGCGTCTCTGAGCTTATAGCTCTTTGGATTAGTCAGGTATGGATGTTATTTAGCCAAAAGGAGGTAAAATGGAGACATGAGTGTGGTACCAGTAAAATGTAAGAGATAAAACCAAGAAGGTGACAAGTCCAAGACAACCTGAACTTAAAGTACAAACGGACATGACGGCATTGAGGGAGGTTAGCAGCACAGGTAATTAATGTGTGGAGTAGACTATACAGCAGCGATGAATGCTAAAATTGTGCACAGGACCTAAAATGTCCAGGGCCCTGTTCTTTCATTGTAGGATTCAAGTAACTCCCATTGATTTCAGGACAATAGGAGATCCTGCAACCCATTTGGATCCACTCCCCAACCTAGGGTCCATAGGTTCTAGTCTCCTCCCACAAGGCACAAATAACCTCTACTGACTTTCCATGGTGTTGTGGGGCCCAGAAAGGAAGAAAAACACAGCTAGAAAAAGGCTGAAAACCCACTCATTTTGCACACCCAGGTTTCTAGCCACCCATCCCTTTTTTCCTAAGGAGAAAAAATTAGATAAGGCAGAGGTATGATGAAATAATGAGTAGGACGAGACCATGTTACATTACTTGGTATCACTCCAACCTGTGAATGATTAAAACAAAAGAAAAGGGGAGTTTCCATGCACACTAATGTGAAAAGCATTTTATAATAAAAAAGCGCTGAAACTCTGGGGGCTGGTGGGAACAAGTCTGTTGCAACATTTCTAGATGAGACATGGTGCACCCAGCAGTGCATTGTAAACAGCTAAAAAAACCAAAGGGGGAAAAAAAAAGATAGAGGAGAAAAGTAGTCTCGTGGAGCACAGAAGTGGGAGCCAGACGATCCGGGTTTTCTCCCTGACCACCATAGACTTCCCATGTGATCTGGGGCAAGTCAAGGGGTTCTTCAAACGTGTCAGACGAAAAAGAAAGATCAAAGATGGTGTGGGTCTGCTGCTCAATGGAGACGGTGAGCTGGTAACAGAAGAGGGTAGGAAGGCGGAGCTGCTCAATGCCTACACATCAAAGATCTTCTGACCAATTTGAATCCATTCAAATCAGCAGGGCCGGATGTTATTTGAGGGTACTGAAGGAAGTAGCTGAAGAAATCTCAGAGCCACTGACAGACAATAATATTTGCAAACTCATGGATACAGGAGAGGTCCTGGAAGGCTGAAGAAGGATGAAAATAATGCCCATCTTTAAAAGGGGGGAAAGGAGGAGCTTGGGAACTATAGACCAGTCAGCCTGTCCTTGCTACCTGAGACGCTACTAGAGCAATGTATAAAACATTCAATTTGCGAATACCTAGAGGATGGAGGGACAGGGCAGGATTAACCTTTTGTGGGCCCGGTGCCAAACATATTTGTAGGGCCCTCTGGGGAATGATTGTAAAAGGGGTTGGGGGCAAAAGCACAGAGGGGCAGGAGCTAGGGTTGGTTTCTGGAGCAAGGGAGGGGCCATGGGTAAACTGCAAGCGCAGCAGGGCTGGGGAGGGGGTAAATAGGATCTCCCCCCCGCCCCCCCTGTCCACATAGAGCAGGTACCTATCTGTTTCTAGCCCATTCTCTTCGTCTCTCTCTGCACTGAGCTGCCCCTCTTCCCGCAGCAGCAGGACAGGTTCTCTTCCAGCCCTCTGGGGTGGGTGTTGGGAGTGGGAGGAGCAGAGGCTAATGTGGTTACTCCTATAACCGGACTTTTAGTTTCCAGTCAGCACCGCTAACAGGACTCTCAGGTCCCATTTTCTACTGGAGTTTCCAGTCTAAAACTGGATACGTGGCAACAGGGCTACCAGAAAAGCCGGGGGGCGGGAGGGAGGGGTGAAGCAGTCATTTTTAAGCGGGGGAGGGGGGGGCCGGAAGCAAGTGGTGGGGGGGCTAGGGAGTGGAGAGGATCTAGTGGGCAGGGCCATGTCTGCTGTACTGCTACCCAGGTAGGTTGGAGACGGGGGATGGGGGGAGGGGGAAATCAGTCAACACAGTATCCCCAGTCCAAGGGATGTGACAGCCAGTGGTGGATTCAGAGTTAGTGGGGTCCTCCGGCCCTGTGCTCAGCTTCATTTTTGGGGCTCCTCCTTGGGACCTAGCCAAGAAAAAGAACATTCTCTCTTTCCTCCTCCCCCGCCCCCATTTTTCATTCTTTTTTTCTTCATCCTCCCCCTAGAAGTAGTAGCAAGTAAATGAAAATAAAGTGAGGTACCTTGATCGTTCTTGTAGTCTAACTTATTTTTCCACAGACCACTTGAAAATCGCGGAGGGTCTCGACGGACCACTTAATGATCTTTCCAAATATTGTTTGTACCGTTAGCTAACTATTGTAAAGCGCTTTGGATAGAGTGCTTTATTTAAAAAATGTAAAAAAACATTGGGGTGAGGGGTCTGGCCAGGAGCTAGGGTGAGGGAGGGGGCTCAGGGTTGGGGCAGGAGGTTGGGGTGTGGAGTGCTTACCTGGGGCAGCTCCTGTTTGGTGCGAGGGGTGCAGGTGGGAACGGGGTGGGTGCAGGAGCTCCTGTTTGGTGCTCAGGGTGGGGGTGGGGATGTGGGGGGTTGCAGGAGTCAGGACAGGGGGCTGGGGAGGTGTGAGGGGGCAGGAGTCGGGGCAGGGGGCTGGAGAGGTGTGAGGGGGTACAGGGGTCAGGGCAGGGGGCTGGGGGTGTGGGCTGGGGTCATAGGGGTGCTCACGGCAAGGGACTGGAGGGGTTAGCCCCAATTCCAGCCCCTTCCCCAAGGTCCCACCCCCACCTCTTCTCCTCCTCCTCCCCGGAGCAGCGAGCGTACTGAGGCTCTGCTCTTCCTGCTTCCTCCTGCCAGCAAACAGCTGATCAGTGGCAGGGAGAGGGGGAGGGGAGGGAACGCAACAGGCTGAGGGAAGAGGCGGGGGAGGAGCTTGGCTGCCAGCAGAGCCTGCCCTGCTGCAGCAGGAGCCGGCAGCATCAAGCTTCTGCCCCCACAGGAGAGAGCAGGGAGCAGAGAAGAGCGGGCCAGGCCAGGGCCTCTTTGGACTGTGGGCCCGGCACCATGGTGCCGTGGTAAATCTGGTACTGTGGAGGGATGATCAGTAGCAGCCAGCATGGATTTTACCAAGAACAAATCATGCCAAACCAGCTTGATTTCCTTCTTTGACAGGATAACTGGTTTGGTGGATAGGCAGTATACCTGGATTTGAGGAAGGCTTTTGACACAGTCCCACAAAACATTCTGATAAGTAAGCTGGAGAAATGAGGGCTTGGTGGAACTACCATTAGGTGGCTATATAATTGTTCAAACAACCCCAAACGAAGAGTAGCTATTAATGAAATTATGTCAGATTGGAGTGAGGACTCAAGCGGGACACAGGGATCTGTTCTGGGTCCGGTGTTGTTTCACATCTTTATCAATGACCTGGATGTAGGAATAGAGAGCATCCTGATCACATTTGCAGATGACACAAAGGTAGGGGGTTGCCAACACTTGCGAGGACAGAGCTAAGTTTAAGAGGGATCTTGATAAGTTGGA